TGAAGACAGGCAGATCTTAAGAAGTCACTAATCTAACCTAAATGGTAATCTTGGGTTCCATGAGAAACTTTCAAAAATAAGGTGAGGAGAGGGAAGAAAGCACTCATGTGTTCATCTGTCTTCCAAATGCGTGTGCACAGGTGTGTGCCCTTCTGTAGAATACATGCACATGCACACAATGTATGCGATGGGGAGAGAGAGTCATTTTGGCCCAGGGTGTCTGAGGTTTTAATCCATGTTCTCTCAGCTACATTTCGGGGTCTGTACATCATGGAAGAAAGGTGTGGAGGAGGAAAAGCTGCTCCAGGCAGCCAGGAAGCTAAGAGACAGAGCAAGGGGCAGAGACAAAGACATCCACAGTGACCCACTTCCTTAACCAGGCTCCATCCAGTTCCTAATACTCTCAACTTCTCAATGGATTAACCCATTGTTAAAGTCAGTATCCTGGTGATCCAGTCAGTCTCAATAGTACCAATATTTAGAGACCAAGCCTTGAGTGCATGAACATTTGGGGCCATGTAATACCCAAAGAGTAACAGCTTACAATTGATGGTTAGTATGGAAATGGAAAATTTATTATTTTTTTCAGTCTAGTAGATAAACATTTCCCAATAATAACTCTACCTATCAAAGGGAAGGGAATACTCCAAGAGCTTTTTTTTTTTTTTTTTGCTTTTCGAGACAGGTCTCTCTGTGTATCCCTGGCTGTCCTGGAACTCACTCTGTAGACCAGGCTGGCCTCGAACTCAGAAATCCACTTGCCTCTGCCTCCCAAGTGCTGGGATTAAAGGCATGCGCCACCACCACCCGACCAACTCCAAGAGCTTCTTAACATGATTCTAAGTCATCTAGACTATAGGTCTCTTGGGATGCCTTGTTTAATTGTGAAGTTCCTTTGTGTAGCTCACTAGTTCCTATTGAGTCTCCCCCCAGGGAGGGGTACAACAACTGGTTATCAAATAGCCCTCAAAATACACAAGTGACATTATACAGATGGGGATCAAGTCTCTTCAGAGGGGCTTTGTTTTGTTCATTATGGTCTCACTATGTCCCCAAGGGTGGCCTTGAACTTGGGCCCAAGAGACCCTTTTATTTCCTGCCTCCTGAATTGTTAGTCTGGAGATGTGTGCCCTTCTGCGTCTAAGGTCTCAAAGTCTGCATTGCTGGGAGGTTATGCTACATCTCCATTTGAGAGGACATATTTCATAGAGTAACTTAAAGATTTCTCCAAAATGCACAGAAGTAACTCCCATCTTCCCATTACCTCCACTTGTCTTTTAATGTAGGTCAAAGTAGAGAAGTATTCAGAGCCACTGCCTTGCTATGTGAAGCTTTCTAGTAATAACTTATAGGCACTATGTCAATACTTTTAGAAACTTATAGATACTATGTCAGTACTTTGAGATACCAAAACATTTTGTGGTACTTAAGACAGGAGCAGCCAACTGGAAGACACAGGCTCTCCAGGGCTACCTCCTTGTCCAAGTCAAAGAGAAATTGTCATAGTTCAGGATTCTATTATTCTCTAACTGGTGATTCTCCAAGGTGCTAGAATCTTCCCCAACCTCCTTATATGTAAGCACCATGAGTTTCCCGGCCCAAGAGAAATCAGGCTTGCATGACGAATGTTTCTGAGTCGGCTTAAATTGGCATGAAGGTATATAAATGACTCCTAAGAGGCATTCTTTGGATAAGGAGGAGAACGTAAATCAAAGACACTCTGGAGCAAAGGTAGGAGAGGCAGCAACAGGGAATCTTAAACCAGATTTTTTTTTCTTTCCCTTGCAGTGTAAGGCTTTTGCTGCAAGTGCTCAGCAGATAATGATGCATCTTTATCATCCGATGCTTCCTGGCGTTGAGAAGGTCACTTCTTTTTGCCTCAAGGAAATTATGTAGCTGGGATCCTTGTCTTACCGTATGTTACCTATGATGACTAGGTTTGGGAATATCAAAGGTGTCCGTTTTGACAGGCATGGTGGCACCCACCTTTAGTTCCAGCACCTTTGTGAGTGGATCTCTGTGAGTTGGAGGCCTCTATATGGTGAGTTCAAGGACAGCAAGGGCAATGTAGAGAGACCTCAAACAAACAAGAAATGGCTACTTTTTAAAAAATTGTAATTTTTGTAAACATCCATCTTGATTCTATTTAGATGGAAGACTGTTTTGGAAAGTTAAATGTCTTTATTTAGGGAACAGGCAAAGGATGCACAATATTTAGATTTTTTTTAAAAAAATGCTTATTTTCCTAAGCAAATTCTTAATGGTATACACTACTTTGAAGGGATTTTTTTTTTTAAAGTAAGACCAAAAGGATCAATGAGAATCTTAGCCATAGAAAACACTAAGATATACAATTAAAATACTTGTGGAAAATAATCCGCAGGCCAAAAAGCGTATAAGAGAAGGACTAAAGTTTCCCTATGACCATTGATGGCCCGGGACTGCTGAAAACGGGGTGCTTCCCCTCCATTGGGCACTTGTTTCCTCCCAGCGTATTCTGAGAGGTTCTGAGAAGGAATACGCCTTTCTAGACTCACGCCCACACTGACAGCCTCTACCTCAGCCCCACGTCCAGTTCTTTCCCGGTACCGTTCCCGCTCTATGCTTCTTCATTCCTCCCTTCTCTCTAGCTCTGCATTTGTTAAGCTCGTAAGCAGTTGCTGTGGTACCCCAACAGCCATCAGGTGGGTTTCTCCCGCAGCTGATGGGAGCAGATGCAGAGACCACACCCAAACATCAGATGGAGCTCGGACAAACACACAGAAGAGGAGAGAAAAGGACTGTAGGAGCTGGAGGGGTCCAGGACACCATGAAAGCAGGGCCCACGCAATCAACTAAGCAGGGTCCATAGAAGTTCACCAAGAGTCAAGTAACAATCACAAACCCTGCATGAGTCTGTGCTAGGTCCTCTGCATACATACTGTGGCTTTGTCGCTTGGGGTTCGGGGGGACTCACAACAGATGGAGGGAATGTCTCTGACTCTTTTGCCTGATCCTTTCCCTCCTACAGGGTTGCCTGGCCCAGCCTTTTTACAAGGGTTTGTGCCTAGTCTCCTCATACCTTGTTACGCCAGCCATCTTCGGTTGATATCCCTGGGAGGTCTGCACTTCTCTGAAGGGAAACAGAGGAAGAGTGAATCTGGGAGAGAAGGGGGGTATAGGAAAGAACTGGAAGGAGTGGGGGAGGGCGGTTGCAGTAGGGACATATTGTATGAGAATAATAAATAAAAAGAAGTCACTGTACTGCTCTTCTGAGAAAGATGAACCCATTCAGGCAAATAAACATGTCTCCTCAAGAGTACTGGTGGCTCCGAGACTCAAGATGAGGTTGTTACTTTATACAGGATGTTCCCAAAACCCATCTCCACCCAACCTAAAAGAGGGGACTTCTGCCCCTAGACCAAGCAGGGAGGGGGAACCCAGAACCCCCTCTGACAGGCGATCTGAATTCTTGCTTAGGCTGCGAGGCTAAGCACTGTAAGGGAATATAAATAAAAGATAAAAATATCTCTCTGGGCTCCCTGAGAGACAAGCCTGGCTGCATAGGGGTTGATGTCAAAAGTATCCCCTCTCCAGGAAAAAGACATCGGGATGGGTATGGCCCTCATGCTTCACTGAACAACAGGGGGACTGGAGCTATTGAAAGGTCCCCTTCGATTACTGGGGGTCAGGCCTCTATCCCTGCCTTAGAAAGATTAGAATCGCCACAGCCCTTCTATACTTGGAGAAGGGAAGAGATGTCAGGGGCAGCCCTGCTTACGCATTGAAGGCCTAAAATCAGCCATAGGCCTAAAATCAGCAATAGGCCTGTCATACATGTATACTAACACCAAGTCTTGGGTCTCTGTGGAAAAACATTGAAACAGATGGCTATAAACTATTGTAAACAGGCAGCTTTTGTGGAAATTTACCAGCCCAAGTAGTCATAGACCTTGTAAATAGGTAGCCTTGGCAGACAATACCAACTTAGATAAGGACAAGTGAGTCATAGGCAGAGTCATAGTGACCTGTCCCCTGAACCCTGAACCTTCACCCAGCCGATACCCAGTTCTGAAAGATATCTGTATTCCCCCTGAACACCTACACTCCAGTGTCATCCCCTTCCCCACATCCTGCCTTTCTGTGTTTATAACCCCTGTGTGAATGAATTACGATTTGAGAAAAAATAATTTTTTTCCTTTCTTTTCTTTTCTTTTTTTTTTTTTTGGTTTTTCGAGACAAGGTTTCTTTGTGTATCCCTGGCTGTCCTGGAACTCACTCTGTAGACCAGGCTGGCCTCAAACTCAGAAATCCACCTGCCTCTGCTTCCCAAGTGCTGGGATTAAAGGCGTGCGCCACCACCGCCCGGCTAAACAAATTATTTAGGGAAAAAAAAAAAGGGAAAAAAAAAAGGAAAAAAAAGAGAGTACTGGTGGCTCCCTGACAGTTTCTACAAGCTCTCTCCGTGTGTTTCAACTTGTGCTGTGTGCAGACACACGAAAGGAGCTGGATCCTGTGAGGTGTGATGTGTGCTCTCCTGGTTGTACATCTCATGGAGCTAGAGAATCTGTGGAAAGCAAATGTGAGGTGGAGGGAACAGGCAGGCTGTGAGCCCCTCTGACTTCAGACAGACAGCCCTGTCCCTCCACCACTACAACAGGTCCTTCACCTGCAGTAAGATGCACAGGTTTGTCAGGTCCGGGCCTAGATGCTTACTTACCTCATCTCTGAGCAGGCACAACCACCAACATTTTTTTAATGCAACAACAGACCCAGTTTTTTTTAGTACAAGTGAGAGAACCTTAGGGCACACTTTTTGCTGAGAAGCAAGACCCTACCAGAGCTGGTGGACTGAGTCCTATGACTCCATCATCAGGGAGGGTCACCTTAGTTAGGCCTTCCTAGTCACCCAGTGCATAGTAATAGCGCTATTCTTCACCAGCCCACCAGGGGGCAGGAGAGATCATATTACTAGGGGATTTTTTTTTTTTTTTAAATCGTCTACTTTTTTCCCCCAAATTGTGTTTTCCCCAGTGAAACCGAATCCTCCAGCTGTGGTGTCCCAGGCGCCGCCTCCCTCTGTGCCCCTGCCCGGCCCTGAGCAGCCTGTTGTGCTGTCTGCAGTCCTAACTATTCTGCAGGTCACCAGCCCTGAAGATGAAGTTTTGGCTGCTGCTCGGACTTCTGTTGCTACACGAAGCGCTGGAAGATGGTGAGTGACTCTGGCCTCTGACCGCCTTCGCCCAGGACACAGTCCCCGAGATTCTCCCAGCTACTCCTCTAACTTTTGGCCTTAGGGATCGTCCCCGGCCCTGATCACCATCCGGTGTACCTGGTCCCTCCTAGAAGGGTCCCCTTTCTTCCTTTCCCCCATCTCCCTGGAACTCCTGGGAAGGCAGCGGTTACGGTGACCTTAAGAGCCCACCAAGACTTCTCTAGCCTTATCAGAAAACCACAGGCGATCAAACCCATCATCCCAGTCAGAGCCTGGTCCAGCCCCCATGTCAACGTGTCGGTCTGATGGCGCGCCTGCCCACAGTGGCTCGCTTCCACCTTCATACGGCGGTCCTCGCCCTGGACTACTGCAGCCGGTGCCACCTAAGCAAAGCGATTCTTACAGAAAACTCCCTGGGTCTTCCTTCCCTGCTACAGTCCTGTTTCGTTTGCTTTTTGTTGTTGTTGTTGCTGTTGTATACCAATCTGAACTAAAATCCTGCTAGATTAGCCTAGATCTTTAACAACAACAACAAAAAAATCGCTGCACTAAACCAAAAAAAAATTTTTGTTTAAAACTAGACTGCAGTTATATTTTCCGTATAAATGAGAGGATGGATGAAAAAAAAAACCTCCTTTTTTTTTTGTACCACAGAGGAGGGCCTTGCATCATTTAATTTTTTAAATTGCATTTATTGTATTTGTGTGTATTTGGGCTTGTGTATGCTACAGCAGTATTGAGATCAAAAGGCACATTGCAGGGGTGAGCTTCCTCCTTGTGCTATGCTAATTCCAGGGACTGAACTCCAGCCGGTATGCATTCTTACTGTGTGGGCAATTTCACCAGCCATTGCATCATTTTTTAAAATGTTTTTTTGAGATGTGTACCTGCCCTAGGTCCATCCTGTTGTGCAGACATATGACTGTAGGGTCAGGCTTTATTACATAGTGTGTGTGTGTGTGTGTGTGTGTGTGTGGTTTTATACACTATACACTTTAAAAGAACATATATACATATCACTGCTAATTATTTTATTTCCTACATCATTTATTTAATTGTGGCTGTTTGCATAGTATATCTTTCTTCTGGCAATGGACCTCAAGGCTTCCTTAAAATTCCTCAGTTACTGCCACAGACATGCTCCTTAGATTTGGTTGAAAAGTGTCTTTTGCTGTTATGCAATTCTATGCTGGAGCCGGCTCAACCTGCCTTGTGATTGATCTACTTGTCAGTCCCGACCCATCCTCCATTCCCTAAAGCTACAGTCATCTGCCTCAAGTTTGAAGAAGTTCAAGATGGTGGCTCATGACACTGTGGGCGAGGCTCCTTAAGGACAGACCCAGACTTAGTAAATAAAAAGCTTAAGCAGACCCTCTGGGGGAGGGGGACAGCAATTCCCCTTTGCCCGGAGGAACGCTGCTCTGAGCTCAGTTTGCACGGCACAGTATTCAAATGTTCCTGGCAGGTCCTTGTATCTGACTGCTAAAATGGTGGAGAAGCAGTATTTGGTGTCATTTTTGAATAGGGCAGAAGACGACCAGACAAAATAACTCCAAATACTCTGTTTACTTTGTGAATGCCTACAATGGCGGTTGGAGAACCATCATAGATCAGAGTGTGTGAAGTACAGCAGACATCTGTCTAAATGAATTAGCATCTATTTAAATAAATGTCTAATCCTACAAGCAGAAATATTCTTAAGACAAAGAAAGTGGAATGCAGGTCAAATATTTAATAATTAATAGTGGGCAAACTGTGGGTCTTGCCTTTATACCTACAGATTATATATACACATATATGTATACTATATATACATATATGTGTATACATGTATATGTCTATATGTATATGTATATATGTGTGTATATATGTATACATATATGTGTATATATGTATATGTAATATATATATGATCTAACATTCCACTGACAAAACGTTAAACATACCTTCTGAAAAGTAAATTTACTTCATTAAATTATTTAACAGTTTTCCAAGCCCTATCAAGAATTGTTGTCATTTGTTTTGAATCCTGACATGGTGACAGGAAGGGCGCAGGAACAACCAAAGGCAGCGAATATTCATAGTTCTTCCGGTGCTGCAATCTGATTGGCAGGTCAGGTTGCTACCCCTTCCCCCAGCACCAACTACAGGCACAAGCTATGACTGTAACTGTCCCTGAGCCTGTCCGTTTTGTGATCACATTTGGGGGCCAGCCTCAGAGGAAAAGTCTCCCCTGCCAGCATCCATGACGTGGACGTTTGTCCTAAACAGTGGCATTTGTCTTGCCCAATTGTAAAGTTTTTGAGAAATAATGCTATTTCTCTTCATAATGGGAAGAGCTGGAAGACCATGTTGTCTACCCATTTCATGAAATGAAAGCTTGAAAGTAGTGAATAAATAGGCCAAGACCCCAGTTAGCTCCCAGGATCTGTCCAATGGTGCGCTGCCACGTTCACTCTTGAAAGTATAAAACTACAGTCACCTACTGACTTCCTATCACCTCTGTGTACAGTTGACGTGACAAGCAAGTGCTGACATGTGCATATTGATCCGTTAATTGATCCATTAATCCTTCTTCATTTACCTACACAAGCCCCGTTACAGTCTCCAGAGAACTAAGATTTAGATCATCTGAAAGCTTCTAAAACTCGAAAAAGATCTATCAAGACATTAGAGGAAAAAAACGGGTCTGGAAGAAGATTAGGAGAATGATACAGTGACCATGACCCTCCATCAAGAACTATGTGTCTCTTTCTTGTGTTCGTTTACTTCTTGGAAACAGACAGTAGATGAGAAACCTGAATATACATAAATAAGCTATCATAAAACACATCTTGCTTACAAGTGCAGCTACTGGATGTTTCAGAGCATGTAGGGTCTTAGGCTGTGTGATTAACATATAAAACTGTCTTCCATACTTAGTGCCAATCAAGAAGTTAGTCCGAGGGCAAGACAGAGAGGGGGAGAGAAAGAGAGAGAGAGCACTGTCAGAGGAATGAGTAAAGCCAAGAGGGAGGGTGGTTTTCTGTGGCCAAGGCTGTAAGGTCCTTTCCTGGTCTTCATGATCAAGTGGAGGGGGCAGGCAACAAACAAGTGTGAAGACAACATCGTTTTAGAAACTGACAAACAACATGGATCTCATTAACCAAAGCATGCCAGCTTCCTAGAGCGGCTGTGACCAAGAACAAGCTGACAATCACTCTCAAAAATTCTTGGGAACAGATATGTGCCAAGCCAGCTTTTTTTTTTTTCCAGATTTTTGGCATGTTTGCATAAGGATAGCCAAGTTTCTTGGATGTGAGACTGAAGTCTAAGCATGAATCTAAAGTATGTTTTGTGACTCTCCTATGCACATATCATCTGGACGTGATTTTAGACAGTATTTCTGTGCACCCACAGTTGGCTGTGGCATTTTCTACTTGTGGGGTATTCGAAATGTTTTGGATTTGAAAGCTTTTTTGTTGTTGTTGTTGTTGTTGTTTCCCCAGATTAGGAATACTCAATCTACACTAGGAATAAGGTGGTTTAAAGCAATGAAAGTCTGTTCTTTACAGTTCTGTAGGTCAAAAACCTACAAATTAAGGTGTCATTAGGACCTTGCTGTCCCAACGGCTCTAGAAAGAACGCCACAGCCTCTTGTTAGTTTTTGTAATTGTCCTACATACTCTTTGGCATTCTTTGATATCTTGACTAGTTTTTATATCAAGTTGGCCAAAGCTAGTGTCATCTAAGAGAAGGGAACCTCGATTGAGGAAATGCCTCCACAGTATCCAGCTGAGGGCATTTTCTTAATTAGTGATTGATGTGGGTGGGCTTAACTCATTGTGGGCGTGGCCATCCTGTCTATTGGTCTTGTGTTCTATAAGAAAGCAGGCTGAGCAAACCTTTTTTTTTTTCTTTCTCAAAGTCGGGGTGGAAGGACTTTGGAACTTAGAGATAGAAAAGCATTGAGTTTTGACAGCTCAGTGGGCTGTTCTGTGCATCTTGGAAGATAATGCTGAGAGCTGTGCAGATGATGGAAGCCTGGCTTACAAAGTCCAAAGGGAAATTTAAAGATTCTATCGGGGGGGCTATTTGCTGTTTTGAATTAAAAATCTATGGTTCTAGTTAGCTGGGGCTGAAGAATCAACTCTGATTTATAAGAAGTGAGCGTCTCTGAGGTAAAACCTCCGCTTTGTTCACACAATTGATGCTGGTCCAATGGAGTTGAGAAATCAGTGATTGAAAAGATACAACCGTCATTAAGTTCCCAGAAGCAGCCCAGGTTGTACTTTGTGCTGGCAGCTAAACTCGGCAGTGTAGGAGTCACACAGGTGGTGCTAGTTTTGAAAGCAGTAAGGAGTCATGGAGAGCACCTGAGGCCTGGCATTTTGCGGCTGGGCTGGAGTCCCTGAAGAAGAGCCCAGGAGAAGCTATTGGCGAAAGTGCCGCCCGGTTACAGCAGCAGACTGAAGGATTTTGGAGACACCAGTATCATGAAAGGACCACTAAGGATATGAGCAGCCATGGAATGTGGGGCTGAGCCTCGGAGAAAAGCTATGGACTGTGGAAAGCTATTCGAAGGCGCCTCAGAGAAGCCCAGACATTGGACACCGATTTGTTTACACTGTTGGAGTGTGGTTTGGCCTTGCTCAGATGGTGATTGTGCCTTGCTTCTTCCCTCTTGAAGTAAGAAAGCATTTAACTTACTTTTTATTTTACAGGAGCCCGAAGTTGAGAGACTTTGAAGTTTTAAAGAGATTTTGGAGTCTTATTTATTTATTTATTTATTTATTTATTTTTAAAAGAGACAAGGAGACTGAACTTTTGAAGTGTTCAAATTTATAAAGGCTCTGGGGACCTTTAAGTTTGTAATATGTTTCATCTTGTGATTATTTATTAAGATGAAATCTTGAGGATGAGCAAACAATGGAAAGGTTATTTATTGTTGAATAGCGCTGGATTTGGTATGTCGAGCTGACAAGGGGTCAATTGTCCTGACTAGTTTCTATGTCAAC